ATTTTATAACTTCCGTAGTATTGATAAAACTTTATAGAATCTTACAATGAAAAGAAAAAGAATTGAATTTTTAGGGTATTCAAGTAGCTACTGGAACTTATACGGAATTATTACGATCATGTCCAGCATTCACACAATGGACAGAAACAACAACTCTTAGATTACGTTCGGGTTCAACTGTAACAACTACTTCATCTAGTCAGTTAAGTCTATCTTCTGTTGTGCCGGAATATCTAACTCAATTTTCAGTATGTTTATTTTAATAAATAAAAAACAACAATTTTTATTATTTATCTGAAATATTAGTTATTACAAACAGATAAAGTTAATGACGAAGAAGAAAATTTATTACTAGCATTAGCTGATAAACCTATACAAAAAGAAACAATTGAATCAAAACGAACTGGTTCTATTGATTTAAATGTATTGATGCGTTATATACGGGCTGGTGGTTGTGGAATATTTGGTTTATTATGTCTTTTTGCAATGTTTGCTGTAAGTAGTGTAACTACTTTACTTGCTAATTGGTGGCTTGGCCGTTGGTCAAATTCTGAACGTATTCGCTATGGATCAACAAATATAATGAGTAATTGTTCATCAATGGAACAATCACCAATTACTAATATGTCAAATGAAGAATGGCTTAAAGAAAGAGATAAAAATTTTTATGTTTTATTTGGTCAGTATTCAAATACAATCCTAGAAAAAAAGTTAGCTGTGCTTCATGGAGTACTACTAATGGATGATTGAAAAGTGTTTAGACAAGATGTTTGTTCACTTTTGATTCACTAGAAAGTATTTCCGATGAGTTACGACTAGAATTTTGTATTCTTTTTGAATATGGAAAAACTTATCGAAGTGGGTCATGTTGTAGAGTGGACACTTCTCTACAAAATGTGATATTGAACAAAGCGGTAGTTTTTACTCAAGTGCAGAGGCTACAAACATTTATTCAAGAACTCTGTTCAATGTAAAACAGTCGTTGATTTTTCAAAAATGAGTATTTAGGAAAAACGAAAATTGATGTACCGTGTCACAAGATAAAAAGAACTTTAAATAATGCATTTTGTAGGATAGTTTCTGATCTACAAGCTGATGTGTAATTAAAGATACACCGAATTTCTAAGCATATATTCAAAAAAAAAGCATCCCAATCCATAGCTTTTACTCGTTTGAAATACTTTTCAGTGGGTCAAAAGCGAGTAAACATCTTGTCTAAAAGCTTCCTGATCACCCGTCATTCTTAATGACATCGAACTGATATTTTAGATGCATGCAAGCAAGAATAAATCCTGACTGCAAGTACTAAACCGCATTTCATATGTTCGCATATCTTGGAGTTATAACTTACGCATGTTCTTTCTCTTGTGAAAAATGTATTCAGTGAAAATGTATGCTAAAAAAGTTTTTGTCTGCCATTTTACTAATCCACAAATTACTACTGCTTTTTCTTCTAGCATTAAAGACGCAGTTTCATGTATTTAATTTATCATGGCCAAAGCCCGTGACACGTAGTCAAGTTCTTAGTAATTAGCACGCTCTAAACTAGTGGACTGATGTCATAGTGTTAGCTTGACCTCGTTCCGTTCTGCGGCTTTATAAATTTCGAAATAGACTTATCGTCTTATGGGAATTTGATACGAAAGTTTTTAAAAAAACTGCTTAAAGGTATCATGGAAAAGATCCATCTCACCAAAAACGCAGCATTTGCTCTTCTATAGATATTCTTAATGAGAAAACAATATCTCAGTTATTTTAAAGCGGTTTCGAAGCAAATTTAGACTATATGCCAACATGCTTGAAATCACATGATCACAAGAGAAAGATGATGTTTGAATCATAACTTACTTCAGTACATGTGAACTAATGATAGTAGTACTTCATAGAGAACAGCTACTTTTGTTCCCTACTGTAGATTAAATCAAAATGAAAAACAACGAAAATTTATTTATAGGATTAAGTTCATTAAGTGTTATATTATTATTCATACGAACAATGATTTATTTTCTTTCATGTCATATAACAGCTCGATCACTTCATAATCAAATGTTTAATTCATTACTTCGTGCACCAGTATTTTTCTTTGATACAAATCCTATTGGTAGGAAAATATTTTGACAAATTAATAAACTATCTACAGAAAACATAAAATCTATTTAAGGTCGTGTTGTTAATCGTTTTTCCAAAGATATTTCATCTATTGATGAAAAATTATCTGATGTTACATACCATTTTGTTGATGTATGAAACGACGAACAAGAAACAATAAGAATTCTATTTTATTTTTAATTATTTTTCTTTTGTTTCACTTTTCATAGCTACTTTTTGGCGTAAGTTCAATAGCTATATTTATTGCATTTGTGCAACCATTATCACTTATTTCAATCGTGTTAGTTGCATTTATTACGGGACGAGTACGTCGAATGTTTGCACCAGCTGTACAAGATATCAAGCGACTTGAAAGTTTAGGTATGCACATGTTTGTTTGTTTTTCTATTTGTTAATGAAGCAGTTTATTATTAGTATTTATTAATTTATAGGTCGATCACCAATTTATTCTCATTTATCTTCATCAATACAAGGTATACCTATGATTCGTTCTTATGGAGCACAACAAACATGTATACAAGAATTTTCTCATTGCCTTGATCAACATACTCGAGTATATAGTATTATGCTTGCGATGAATCGCTGGTCAGCTATGAGAATTGAATGTATTGTATCAGCTTTTGTTAGTTTTTTAGCCTTTTCAATTTTACTTACACATCGAAGTAGGATATTTTTGTTTGATTTTTCATTTATTAAATCTTCATTTTAACATGTATAAATAGATTTACCTATTTCTGATTTAAGTTTAATATTGGCTTATTCATTTACCTTACTTGGTTCTGTTCAATGGATTATTCGACTTACTGTTGATGTTATGATGCAGGTAGAAAATAAAAATCTTTAAGAATTTTAAGTATTACGTAGAACATAGTAAAAATAGTGGCTTTGAGTGATAAAACCTATAAGTAAGCATTAATCAAGTTTTTGTTCCAATGACTATTTAAGCTATCAGTTATGCTTAGCTACGTATAATCAATTTGTTTGCAGACATTTGTTGAAAGTGTTTTTGATTAAAAGATTCATCATCTTGATTTACAGTACTTAATACAATAATAAGTAACTATATCGATCAATCGAATTTTCTTGAACATGACTGGCTACAGAAATATATGAAGAACTGAAATCGAACTATCACCATCAGCTACAATTTGATGCAGTAATTTAGTCTCAAAACAATGTTTCGTGTCTTTTCTAAAAAAAAATACAACTAGTCAAATACTCTTTAAAAATCCGGCACCTGTGGAAACAATGAAGGCTTCTAATTATTATTACTATATCAATCATTCTTCAAAACTACTTATCAGTAGAATTAGAAGACAAAGGTCACGGTCACTGCTCAAGATAATGAAAGTCATTATTACGCAAACATGCTTTTATTATCTTACATCAGAACATATCATAAGTATTTTATGCTCATTTTGTCCTGCAGATAGAGTACTAGTTATTTTTTGGATGCTCTACAGAGTTCGTCAGGTCCAAAGTTTTTGTACCCGGATCTGATCGAACCGTACTTTGATCGGTTCAATGAAATTTTCTAATTGGAATAGGTTAGCTGTCCCAAAGATATGAGATACTTTTTTTCCGATTTTTTTTGTATTCGGTGACTAGTGCATCCTCTACACTTCACAGATGAGTCGTCTGAGAAATGTATAGGGTAGAGCTATCGAGTCCTAAGTTTCCAGACCCTGATCCACCATCAACCCGATGAGTTCTAATGCTTGGTCTAATTGATAAACTTCATCAATCAAGCAGCGACTTCTAAATACTACAGGGAGTAGCATAACCAAATTGATGACTTTTTAATCGAAGATTATTTGCAAAATAGATTCAACAAATGTCTTCAAACAAATTGATTCTATACAACGAAACATGACTATATAGTAGTTCAAATATTTGTTTAACACTTTCCTATGGAATTTTATCTACCAAAATCATTAATTTTGATATGATCTAAGTATTATTCATTATATAGATGACAAATGTTGAACGTGTTATTGAATATATTGATTTACAACCAGAAGAATCACCAAATGTTAAAAATTTAAGAAGTTTGCCACCTCAATGGCCAATAGGTGGTATTGTTTTTGATAATCTTTCATTTCGTTATTCATCAACAAGTTCATGGGTACTTACAAATATAAATATTTCTATTCAACCAAATGAAAAAGTAAAGCTTTTATCAAACAAAAATAAAGGTAATGATCTAAGTTTTTTTCATTTGTTTTTAGATTGGTATTGTTGGTAGAACAGGTGCTGGAAAAAGTTCACTTATTCAATCAATATTTCGTATGGCTGAATTAAATGGTCGAATATTAATTGATAATGTTGATACACAACAAATTTCATTATATGATCTTCGACGACACATTTCAATTATACCACAAGTAAATCATTAATATAAAATTTTATATAGAATTATTCTTCTATCAATAGAATCCTGTTTTATTCAATGATACAATTCGAATTAACCTTGATCCATTCGGTGAATATTCTGACATTGAAATTTGGAATGCACTTGATGAAGTAATGAAAAAAAAACACATGATTTATTCAGTTATTATTTAAATTTAACATTAGGTTCAATTTAAACCTGATACGATTGATGGTTTACAACAACAAGTAGCTGAGGGTGGATCAAACTTTAGTGTTGGTCAGCGACAATTAATTTGTTTAGCACGAGCACTTCTTCGAAAAAATAAAATACTTGTTATTGACGAAGCTACAGCTAATGTTGATCATAGGTTATTTATTAAATTTAAGGATTAATATATATGTGTTATTTTTTTTATCTAATATTTATAGAACTGATGGACTTATTCAATTAGCTATTCGACGCAAATTTGTTAATTGTACTGTATTAACAATTGCTCACAGGTAAAAGATTGACAAAACAGAACAACTAGTTTGTGAGATAGTTTCTTTTCGAGTCCAGCATCCCATTTCATTTTCAAAATGTCCCGATCTTGAATGCTCGTGGGACGGGATAAACGGGATTTTCCGGGATTCAGTACCGCCATACAGAGCTTTGAGAACAACATACTGCCGTAAAACTTTACCATTAATAAAAGGAATTGTTGTCAGGAAGATCTTTCCTTCAGTCTTTTGAACTACTCTCCCATAGTTATTAATCACTAATTACTCATATTCAGAGGATCATAAGATATGTCACATAATATTCTACGAGGAAACGTCTTCAACGGATCAATTGCTTTCTTATTGAAAGCTAGTGGAATGTGGGTTGTCAACCATCCTGATTCCAAATGTGACCATAGGTAATCTCCTTAGATATTCGTATATCAGTATTTCGGAAAGCTGGTTTTCCAGACGAATAAGCCTTTCGTCAAAAATCTCTTGTGAGTTGTCCAGATTATAGAGCATATCGAATTGACTAGAAAACAGTAGCTTTTCTACTTCAAATTGGTTTTTTTTAAAGAAAATACAACCATTTTAATGCATATATCAGATACATATCCACATTCCAATCTGAAAATCTTCAAGATGATATTATTTTACTTAAAATTCATTTTTGAAAAATAAAAATTATTATTGACTCATATATAGCTCGATATGCTCTATAATCTGAGTAGATCCAAAACGATGCTGGCGAACTATTTGTCCTTCTAGAAAGCCAACATTAAAGAACTAACGGAATTTTCAATAGTCACATTCAGAATCACTATGGTCAATAACTACTAATCAAGTCAATTTTGAATGAGAAAGCGATTGATCAGTTGAAAATGTTCTCTCATCAATACTCT